TGTGCTCCTTGTATCAATCAAATTTACTGTGGATCACAATGGTAATCGTTGCCACAAATTCCTTCGAACGTTCCGCTACTGTTTCACTTCACTGTAATGAGACCATCTTGTTGTTGTAATATTTTCAAGAGTGCAGTATGGCATTAATAATCATCGAGGTGGAGAGGAGGCAAAGAAGTGTCGTGACTCAGATGATCTATGAATGGGGGCGGTGTTGCATGGATGGGATTTGTTGATTATTCTTAATGCGGTTGTTTGTTGGGTTATTATGGCTTTAGGGTGTTGCTGCAGTGAACCCCAGCACAGATTAGCATAGGTTAGGTATGGATATATAAGTAATGGTTACAGTGTGAGAAGTGCAGTTTGGAGTTTGCGGTACGTAGTATCGTATCTTGGAGAGGATCCCCACCGTTTTGTATACTTTTTTTGTTATGTGTTGGATATGGGTGCTGAAATTTAGGTTGTTGTCGAGGTATAGGCCAAGGAATTTGCCCTCATTATGTCTGGCAATTAGAGTGTTGTCGATCTTAATGTTAAGTTGCGCAACACCTGCTCTGCTACCAAACATAATATAGTAGGTTTTGCCAGTGTTAAGTGTAAGTTTATTGGCTGCCATCCAAGTCGATATTTTGAGCAGCTCCTCGTTAACAATGGTGTTGAGGGTGGCAAGATTAGGGTGGGAGATGACATAAGTCGTGTCGTCAGCAAAGAGAATGGGTTTCAAGTGTTGGGATATGTTTGGAAGATCATTGATGTAAATGAGGAAGAGCAGGGGTCCAAGGACACTTCCCTGCGGAACTCCAGTATCAAGTGGCCGTATTGATGAGGCTCTGTCTTTAATGGTGACATACTGATACCTATTAGAAAGGTAGGATTTAAAATATGCAAGCGCATGGCCTCTTATACCATAGTGGTCAAGTTTGTGGAGTAGGATGTCGTGGTCTACTGTGTCAAACGCTTTTCTTAGGTCAATAAAAATTCCTAGCGGATATTCCTTGTTTTCCAATGCTGTGTAAAGCAGGTCTAGCATTTTTATAATTGCATCATTAGTGCTTTTATTTTTCCTGAATCCAAATTGGCAGGGGTTGAGTATGTTTTGTGACGTTATAAATGAATATAGTCTCCTGTGCACGAACTTAGCTGAACTTTTTCATTTTTTGCCTTCCTTTGTTGACATCCACTAGACTCTTCGATTTATGCACTCCGTGAGGCGTGATATTATATCAGTGATCTGAAAAAAGAATGCCAGATTCACCGTTTTGGTTTACTGAATATTCGGTAATATTTAATGGTGACAAACAAATAAATGGTGCCAATTCTATTATCCTACTGAGGATGAAATGAAGTTAAGAAAGGAAATAAGTGGGTTAAGGTTCGGATGAAATTAAGACTAGCAAATAATAACTGTTGGATCGTGATTGCATTAATTTTTTCAATAGAACCTAATTTTGATATTTAACTCAGCCTCTAACCAGGCTGAGAGCAAAGTAGAAAAAATTTAGCCTACTTCCCAATGAATTGGCAAAATAATCATAATGGTCATTATGGATGTAATACTAATGTAATACCACTGTAATATCACTGTACCATATTATTTGGTAAGCCTCCTGGCCCTAGAGGCTTTAGGCCACAAGGATTGGTAAAAACAATACATGGTTAAAACTGATGTCGACATAAATACAGGAGGCTAAGTATGCACATTGCATTAGATACATGGCATAAAACTACCAAAACAAATTTACTGAAAAAACTTGGCCTTGCCTTTGAACTTTATATTAATTGCAAGTTTTCACATCTTGACTGGGAATGTGAGTGTTCAAACTATCAAATTAAATAATTTGATCTGCCACGAACATTGTCCCTAAGCTAAATAAAATCCCTCGAGGAGAGCCATAATATAATGATATAATGGAAAAGTATTTCATCGCACCGAACCAGTTAATACTGAAAAGGCATAATTTCATTAACATTGGCAGTTACGTACGAGGTTATTTCAACATTTCGTGAATGTCACTTCTCACCGGTTCATATATCTTGATTCATGGCATGACTGACATCACCAATAAGCAAAAGTAAAGCTTAAAATATGATAATTACCTGACCCTTTGTCTGTTTAACCCAGCCACATATACACCATCAGTTGGACCAAACTCACTGGTGGATGGTGCAGCAGACACATATACACCATCAGCTGGACCAAACTCACTAGTGGGTGGTGCAGCAGACACATATACACCATCAGTTGGACCAAACTCACTGGTGGGTGGTGCAGCAGACACATATACACCATCAGCTGGACCAAACTCACTAGTGGGTGGTGCAGCAGACACGTATACACCATCAGCTGGACCAAACTCACTGGTGGGTGGTACAGCAGACACATATACACCATCAGTTGGACCAAACTCACTGGTGGGTGGTGCAGCAGACACGTATACACCATCAGCTGGACCAAACTCACTGGCGGGTGGTGCAGCAGACATATATACACCACCACAGAGAGCAGGATTGCAGATGAACAAGGAGGCCTTGTGTAGGGGATGTGTAGATCAAGTGTTTACATTGAAGAATATATGTGAACAATATTTAGACAGAGGTAGGGAAGTTTTCATTGCATTTATGGATTTAGAAAAGGCATATGATAGAATGGATAGGGGAGCAATGTGGCAGATTTTGCAAGTATATGGAATAGGTGGTAAGTTACTAAATGCTGTAAAGAGTTTTTATGAGGACATTGAGACTCAGGTTAGGGTGTGTAGAAGAGAGGGAGACTACTTCCCGGTAAAAGTAGGTCTTAGACAGGGATGTGTAATGTCACCATGGTTGTTTAATATATTTATAGATGGGGTTGTAAAAGAAGTAAATGTTAGGGTGTTCGGGAGAGGGGGTGGGATTAAATTATGGGGAATCAAATACTAAATGGGAGTTGACACAGCTACTTTTTGCTGATAAAGCTGTGCTTATGGGAGATTCTAAAGAAAAATTGCAAAGGTTAGTGGACGAGTTCGGGAGTGTGTGTAAAGGTAGAAAGTTGAAAGTGAACATAGAAAAGAGTAAGGTGATGAGTGTATCAAATGATTTAGATAAAGAAAAATTGGATATCACATTGGAGAATAGGAGTATGGAAGAAGTGAATGTTTTCAGATATTTGGGAGTTGATTTGTCAGGGGATGGGTTTGTGAAGGATGAGGTTAACCATAGAATTGATGAAGGAAAAAAGATGAGTGGTGCGTTGAGGTATATGTGGAGACAAAAAAACGTTATACACGGAGGCAAAGAAGGGAATGTACGGAAGTATAGTAGTACCAACACTCTTATATGGGTGTGAAGCTTGGGTTGTAAATGCAGCAGCGAGGAGGCAGCTGAAGGCAGTGGAGATGTCCTGTCTAAGGGCAATATGTGGTGTAAATATTATATAGAGAATTCGGAGTGTGGAAATTAGGAGAAGGTGTGGAGTTACTGAAAGTATTAACCAGAGGGCTGAAGGGTTGTTGAGGTGGCTTGGTCATTTAGAGAGAAAGGATCAAAGTAGAATGGCTTGGAGAGAGAGTATAAATCTGTAGGGGAAGGAAGGAGGGGTAGCCGTCGTCCTCGAAAAGGTTGGAGAGAGGGGATAAATAAGGTTTTGCGGGCGAGGGGCTTGGACTTCCAGCAAGCGTGAGTGAGCGTGTTAGATAGGAGTGAATGGAGACGAATGGTTTTTGGGACCTGACGAGCTGTTGGAGTGTGAGCAGGGTAATATTTAGTGAAGGGATTCAGGGAAACCGGTTATTTTTATATAGCCGGACTTGAGTTCTGGAAATGGGAAGTACAATGCCTGCACTCTAAAGGAGCGAACTGGCATATTGGCAGTTTGGAGGGGTATGTTGTATATGCTTCTAAACTGTTGTATCTGGGTACCTCCGCAAAAACAGTGATTATGTGTAAGTGAGGTGAAAGTGTTGAATGATGATGAAAATATTTTCTTTTTGGGGATTTTCTTTTTGGGTCACCCTGCCTCGTTGGGAGACGGCCGACTTTGTTGAAAATTATATTATATATATATAATATATATAATATATATATATATATATATATATATATATATATATATATATATATATATATATATATAATATTATATATATTATATATGTCGTGCTGAATACGTAAAACTGGTCAATTAGCAAGAACTCATTTAAAACTAAGTCCTTTCTAAAATTTTCTCTTATACGTTTAAAGATATATATTTTCATTAATGTTAATGTAAAAAAAATTTAATTTTGCTCCAAAAGAATCTTAGAAAACTTACCTAACCTTATTATAACAAGAACAATTTATTTTAGCCTAACCCAACTAAATATATTTTAGATTTGTTTACAATAATTTAATACTAAACAAACACATTTAAATATATTTTTTTCGTTAGGTTCAGAATGATTTTGGCGAAATTATTGCATACACAAATTTTCACTTGTCCTATATGGCAAGATGAGCGTTGCTATTTAAGCCAAGATCGCAAGTTCTGCCTATTCGGCACGACATATATATATATATATAGACGGTGGTGTGGGTGCTTCTGAGCTAATTTCATTCTATTCCCCGGTTGCTGGTTTCAGCCCGCCCTGCGCTACTCTCTGAAAAAATTTCCCCTCAGTCCTTCAGTTACTGCTTTGCAACATTGCATAGCTCCTGGTGACGCACTGAGAAGTGTTAAAGTAATTGAGCTAATAATTTCCACCCCGCTTCTCAAGTGGCTTGTCTTGCACTTTTAGCATCACCTGTCAGCGATTGTTTGCACGCATATATGTATGTGTATATCCATGCATGTACGTATGTAAGCACGCATGTAATATTTACGAATGTATGCATGAACAGATTCATACTTTTGCATGTGTATTCAAGCATACAGTATATGTGAGGGAAAAAATCTTGATCTTCACTTTTATTAAACAAGAGTTACTCTTAAGAAGTAATAGCCGATGAAGTGACAAACTCATCTCGCCTAATCAAAAGTCAAAATAATTTAACCATCCAAAATATATACAAAATCAAATGCACCTCTTCCACCTACAGTGTTGCAAGAGTCAGTTGGAGGTCGGCCGTGCGCGGAGCCTGTGAGGAAGTGTTCGAGGGCAGCCCTGTGCGGAGCCTGTGAGGAAGTGTTCGAGGGCGGCCCTGCGCGGAGCCTGTGAGGAAGTGTTCGAGGGTGGCCCTGCGCGGAGCCTGTGAGGAAGTGTTCGAGGGCGGCCCTGTGCGGAGCCTGTGAGGAAGTGTTCGAGGGCGGCCCTGTCGCGGAGCCTGTGAGGAAGTGTTCGAGGGTGGCCCTGCGCGGAGCCTGTGAGGAAGTGTTATTGTGGCAACAGTAAACATCGTTGCCGTCTGCATGTGCAACTATTTATTCCCTTCTGGCATTCCTGAAATGAAAACCTTAAGAAAGCGGCACTAATGAAACGCTTTTCGTCGATACTGACATACCAATTGTACTCGCGTAGTACTCTTGGCACTGGAAGCAAGTCATCGAGGTGGGATGTTAAGGAGAGCGAGAGCAGAGCAGAGCCAGTCAGAGTGTAGCGTTGGTAGTGTGTGTGTGTGTGTGTGCGAGAGAGAGGGAAGCTCCTGTCATCACTCTCAGTCAACTACTGCCTCGGTCACACCTACTTTTTTCTCGCTGCTGAGCAGTAACTGATTTTCCAAGAGTCTATAAATGAAGTGATATAATGTAGTGTGTTAATGTTCATTTGTAAAACTGTGATTATAAACTAGTGAGTCTAGATATTCCCTGGAATAAAATCGTCTGCATGGAAACATGTGACTCTCAAGTAATGTGAAACATTGAAAGATCATAGTGTGTTTATGTGCAATGAATAATGTAATAATTACTTTACTCATGGGAAGTCTTAAAGACGTATATCTTCCGCCAGTAATCTTAGCTGACAGAAAATTAATCTGAATAAGACAAATCTCTTGCTACGTGTTGGTAGAGTATGCCTTCCTCCAGTGAGTGTACTTGAATACATCCACATGGAGGGGCAGGATAACATCAACGTGGATTCACCTGGGGAGGAAGAGATGGACTCTCATCCAGAACCCAGCCCCACATTGGAGGAGTTCAGGAAGAGTCGTGGCTTTCGGCGTAGAATGTCAGAATCTGCTCGGGAGATTCCTAGTGAGGGGCTGTCCCGGCTGGCTCGCCTGGGCAATGGTATCCGTCGCAGGTTGTCAGGTTCCACCCGCGATGTGTCCACCACAGGGACAACAGCCGCTGAGATGGCTGCTGAAGGTAAAAGTGGCGGTAATGGCCTTCGACGCCACCTGTCTGCCTCCATGAAGGATCTCCTCCTCAATGGGGACGCCGAGGGTCTGGGCCGGCGACTGTCCCGTCGTCTGTCCCTCCTAGCTGGGACAGTGGCTTCTAGGGCTGACAACACCCGAGGCTCCCTGAGGGCTAGACTTCCTAACCTACGGCGCTCTCGTACCTTCACTGTCACCCTCGTCCTCCCCGACTCTTCCCACAGGACAGTGAGTGTTGCTCTTTTGAGTATCCTCGTTTTAACTTATAACTTTGCATCTAATCGTATTGGGTCATTGCTTTTTCTTCGTGGCAAACATCATGTAATCTCGACACAGAAAAACATGCTTTCAAATGTCATCATTTTTTCCTCTGTACACTGAAAATATTAAATGTGTGAGCTTTATTTTTATTATATATGAACGTGACGAGAGGTGGACTGAAATCATTATTTGAAAGTGAATAAAAGCAATTTTGGTTTCTGTTGATTTCTCGCAAATCATTACCACAAACTATTTACAAGAGAATCAAGATTGTCAGCAAATGTATCACATGAATCTGAAGGGACGGATCTGAGGTGGTATGGGGGGGTGGGGGAGGAATGGGTTATGAAGCCTTCGCCTCAAACAGACGGGTTAGGATCCAGCCATTTGCTTCATTGCTGAGACAGGTTCCAGTGTTCCTTGTTTCAGCTAGGATCTACCGCTTACAATGTGTGAGTTTAGAATTTTCCTTCACACTTCAAAACAGTTAGAATCTAGCCAATATACAGAGTGAGGTTAAGATATAGCCATCCCCCTGAGTGATTGGGTTAAGGTTAAGATATAGCCCTCCTGAGTGACTGGGTTAAGATATAGTCCTTCCCCGGAGTAACTGGGTTAAGATATAGTCCTTCCCCGGAGTAACTGGGTTAAGATATAGTCTTTCTCTTGAGTGACTGGGTTAAACAACCTTGACCTAGCGTGACAGAATAGAAACTAGCCTTCACTCTTCTTGACTGGGTTAGGAACCAGCCTTCACTTCCTGTGATTGGGTTAGGAACCAGCCATCACTCTGCGTGACTGGGTTAGGAACCAGCCATCACTCTGCGTGACTGGGTTAGGAACCAGCCTTCACTCCCTGTGATTGGGTTAAGAACTAGCATTCACTCTGTGTGGTGACTGGGTTAGGAACCAGCCATCACTCTGCGTGACTGGGTTAGGAACCCGCCTTCACTGTGTGACTGGGTTAGGAACAAGCCTTCACTCACTGTGACTGGGTTAGGAACCAGTCTTTACTCCCTGTGACTGGGTTAGGAACCAGCCTTCACTCCCTGTGACTGAGTTAGGAACCAGCCTTCACTCCCCGTGACTGGGTTAGGAACCAGCCTTCACTCCCTGTGACTGAGTTAGGAACCAGCCTTCACTCCCTGTGACTGGGTTAGGAACCAGCCTTCACTCCCTGTGACTGAGTTAGGAACCAGCCTTCACTCCCTGTGACTGGGTTAGGAACCAGCCTTCACTCCCTGTGACTGGGTTAGGCTCTACAGTAACTCTCACTTTATGTGACTGATATGGGACTCAGTCTTCACTCTGTGGCTGGAATAGGATCTAACCTTCCCCGGTCTATGACTGGATTAAGATTCAGCCTTGACCCTGCTGGGTCAAGGTGCATTTATGATCTCGTGAGTTATTTTCTCTTGGGTGTAATTATATCCTTGCTTCTAGTCAAGAAAAACTAGAGCAGTAGATTAAAATGCGTCTGCTGATTTCAATGGTGCAGTGAGTAGTGATCTTCAGTATCTCTTTGTTTATAATTTACATTATAAATTTCATCGAAAGATTGAGAACATTAGAACATAAGAATGGAGGAACATTGCAGAAGGCCTATTGGCCCATACAAGGCAGGTCCTTATCAAAACCACCCCTACCCAAAGCTACCCAAGAATTTACCCCGGTACCCAATGACACCAATCAAACCCAGCCCCTCCCACTCATATATTGAGGGCTGTAGACTGTTTCTTGAAGAGCTAAACTCGTGTGGGCCATACATTGGTCACATAACCACTGATCTTCTTGGTCGGGGGACGCCCTGGTCACATGATCGCTGGTCCTTTTGGTCGCAGGACGATTTGGTCACACGGGAACGGGTCACATGGTCACAGGGACCCCAGTGGAAATGAGTCACTTTGTCAGACTTGTTTGGGAGGATATCCTAGATAATTTTTTACACATATGTTACTATGTATAACTGCATTCACCTAAATTTGTATAACTGTACTTATGTGTTACTGTACCTAAATAAACTTACCGCTGGTATCAGCGGCGTCGGAGCACCCTGGTCACAGCACCAATGATGCTAGTAGTCGCGGGACAACCTGGTCGCCTGATCACAACAGGTGTGGGACCCGCCTAGCGACATGCGTGTGCACAATACCTCTGGATTGCAATCTCAACCCCATCAAGTATATCCACTCACGAAACCCATCATTACACGGTACTGGCCACCATTGAGGACCTAGCATTACGCTGTATTGTAGGTGTTCACACTTACGTTACGGATCGTTATGGGAATATTCTTGTTATTAAAGGCAGTAGCAGCAGGTGTGAGGGCTCCCCACACAGAATTCACTGTCTCGCTGCGTTATTTTCCTCTTATGGAGTGAACGAAAGCTTCAATTATGCATTAGTGAATGCTCGTTGGTGTTGAGATGTGTAAGTATATTCTTTTAAAAATCTATAATAGTTTTATATATAAAAATATATAGATTTGAACCACCTAAGATGGCGCAGTAAAATGAAACGATATGACTTATTTCCACTGACGATCTTATTATTTCTAATGAGGACAGTATTATTTCGACTAAGAACCTTATTTTTCCACTGAGGACCTTATTATTTCCACTGAAGATTATTATTGCCACGAGAACCTTAATATTTCTACTGAGGACCTTATTATTGCCACGAAGACCTTATTATTTCCACTGGGGACCTCATTATTTCCATTTCCATATCAACCTATTAAAATTTTTGATGAAGACTGTGATTTTTTAGATTTTGCCACCGAAGTGGCTAGTTTATTGTGCACCCCATATCCATCCTGTGGACGGTAGCGCAAGAACATATGGATACACAAAAGGCCTAGGAACTAGGCCTCAAAAGGGTTAACAGGTGTACAAACGGTTTTTTTTAATCTACATATCTACAGTTCACTTATCTGTTACAAGCAAATTTAGGAAATTTGCTTAGTATATCTGGTATCTTATTTTCATTAATAAGATATCTTGACATGTCACATAGGTTATTATACTGTCTATCTCTGTATTCCCCAATAAGTGGACAATTAAGCACATAGTGTTCAAGACAGTGACCATATGCCTGATCACATAATTTACATTTAGTTTGATCATCATCTGTGTGTCTCCCAAACTGCCAGAAGTACTTGTAACCAAGCCTAAGCCTGGCCACTACAACATCAGTCAGACTGTTCACATTGCAAGTTGCTCCATAAATATACTTATCTACCTTCATGTTATCATAGTGGGTTATAGATCTATTCAGGCTTCTAACTGCATTCCTATAACAATCATTTTCATTATTTACTTCTCTCCTAATATTATTCCTAATGCTAGACACAGATATACCAAAGTTATATTCTACATTCTCCTTCTGGGTACTCTTCTTGGCTAACATATCAACTTTATCATGAAGGAGTAATCCAATGTGTGATGGGATCCATAGCAATTATACATTAATTCCTTTGTCCTTGATTTTTGAGTATCTGTACCTGGCTTCTCCAATGAGCATGTTGTTGGAATCATTATATGAGTCAAGAGCCTTCAATGATGACATAGAATCAGTAATGATGATAGAGCCAAGCTCAGTGTCATCGGTTAGCTTTAGCGCCATTAGGATTGCAAACAATTCAGTTTGCATTGTAGACGCCCAGTTGTTAATTCTTGTGTCTAGTTCAACAAGTTTATTATCGTTCTTAACTAGGGAGGTGGCAACCAGAGCAGATGCAGCCTTGCCAGAAGACTCCTGTTTAGATTCATCAGTGTATATAACTTGTGATAACTTATTACTACGAGCTAGGCGAGAAATTTCTTCTTGAGCAGTTGCTTTAACAAGTGATTTAAGGACGGGATTACTAGCAATGAGCTTCTTGGGAGGGACTTGCAGGTATGTGATATTAAATGAACACATCTTCCATGGAGGGATGAAATGCTCTTGTTGTCTACAGTTATACAGTTCATGCAGGTTATAAAACTTAATGCATTTGCACGTTTTCACAATCCATTTAGATCTGTGTGTATTTACTTCGAGACACTTAGTAAGATTCACTGTGACAGTGTCTGGTTCATTTTTTAGCATTCTAATACCGAGTACAGTGTTAATCTCAACTTTGTAGATTTGGGACAGCCAAGAATAATTCTGAGAGCTTCATTTTGCATTAACTCCAAGGGTCGGAGAGAACTTTCTCTAGCTAATACCAACATGGGAGCAGCATAATCAATTAAGGACCTAACATAGGCTATGTACATCATTCTCACGATTCTCACATTAGCACCATAGTTGGGGTTGTAGTCAACAACAGCTTTGAGAGCATTTAGCCTATCTTTGCATTTCTTATTTAGTTGTGGTATAGTGGATTTGTTAAATGGTACATCTACACCAAGATATCTGTAATTAACACCCCAATAAATTAAAGAATAAAAGTACCCAATACCGTGTTTGGAACAATACACAAATAACCCGCACATAGGATCAAATTGCCTCACTGCTTGAACTCTTCACTCTCCCGTGGTCGTTTCTTCCTTTTCTGTTTTCTGCCCGAAATGCTTTGCATAACAAGGGGCTTTCTTTAAAGTAGTCATGTATGTCATTCACCTTAATTGTATAATAAACTGTATTCCACTTTATAGAAATAAAGTTAGTTTATGTTCTCGTTTTTCGATCATTTATCTTGGCTATTTATTCTTCACATTGTCCACCCTACGGTACCTGTTAAGCCTCGGGCCATCCATGTGTTTTAAAGTGTCTCTCCTCGTGTTTGGTATAAATTCTCCACAACTTCTCTTCACTGTATCCAGGTCATCTGTCATCCCTTTTAGCGTTTTACCTTCTATTTCCTTTGCCAGGAAGGTCCTCTTAGAGTTATAATCCTCCTATTTCTTAATCTGAATTCCTGTGTGTGTGTGTGTCTGTGTGTCTGTGTGTCTTTCTCTGTGACTTTTTCTCTGTCTGTCTCTCTGTCTGTCTCTATCTTCCTGTCTGCCTGTCTGTCTGTTTCCCACATATGCACCTCAACTTGTAACAATGAAGCCAAGTCCGTCACAGGAGAGAGCATGATGGTACTTGCAGAACATAACCAGTTGAAGGGACGTGGTGTCGCTAAACAAGGTGTGGCCTAGGATCAAACGAGGCTAATTAA